TGTGGTGTCCCATCTCACAACAACCTCAAACACTTGGGCTTAAGCAATTCTCTTGCCTGAGCTCCCAAGTACCTGGGACTACAGGCACTCTCCACAACATCTGGCTATTTTTGGGTTTTTTTGGTTGCAGTTGTTTAGCTAGCCTGGGCCAGGTTCAGGCTACCTGGTTAGTGTATGTGGCTGGTTCAGGCATACCGTTAGTGTATGTGGCTGGTGCAGTAACCACTGGGATATGGGTGGGGAGTCTTCTTTATTTTTTTAAAATAATTTTTTTTAAATGTAGGAAGTATTCTTGGCTGGGAGACATAAATAAACACAGGCTTCAAGATGGATTCTCTCCACCACCTTCCTCACCTCTGGCTGTAGTTTGCCAACCCCTGCCTAGAAGAGCTAAATGACTAAGTGACAATACAGCTGACTTCAGGGTGACACAAAGAGGAGCAATCAGAAATGTTTAGCAGTAGAGCAAACTCTGAATTCCTAGCCCTGGGGATCTTTAGGTAGGATTAAGAATCCACTATTTGAGCCTATACAGGCTGTCTCTACAATAAATAGGAGCTTAGACTTTAATAGCTACCAAGGTCCTTTTAATTTTTCATGTTACAAATATTTGTGTATCTTCTCTGGACCAGATGCTTAAGAATTGTTTAAGCCCAAGTGTTTGAGGAACTGTTGAGATGATGTGAACAAAATACATGTGATTGCTGCCCATGTGAGATTTACAGTCTAATGGGGGCTACATTAAAATCAGTAGGTACTGTGATAAGCTTTCTGTGAGAGGGAGTCAGCAAGCCGTGGGAGGGGGAGTTAACCTGCTTACAGTGACTTAGTCTGCAACTGGGAAAAGTAACACCAAAGCTAAATGAGTAGGAGTTAGCCAGATTTGGAGGGTGTGGGGGCAGATAGAGGGGTAGCGGCAGGAGCAGCATGTGCAGAGGCCCAGAGGTAAGAGAGGTTGGACGTCTGAATTGCTGGGGATCTTATTTAAATGCAGATTCAGGGGCGGTGCCTATGGCTCACTGGGTAGGGTACTGGCCCCATATACCAATGGTGGTGGGTTTGAACCCGGCCCTGGCCAAACGGCAACAATATAATAGCCAGGTATTGTGGCGGGCACCTGTAGTCCCAGCTACTTGGGAGGCTAAGGCAAGAGAATCACCTAAGCCCAAGAGCTGGAGGTTTCCGTGAGCTGTGATGCTACGGCACTCTACTGAGGGTGACAAAATGAGACTGTCTCTAAAAATAAATAAATAAATAAATAAATGCAGATTCAAATCCAGTAGTTCGGGAGTGGGACCAGAGATTGAGCATTTCCCACAGACTTCCAGGGAATGCAGTGCTGCTGGTCCATGGGGCCCACGATGAGTAATAAGGCTGTAGAGTGTGTGTTTTAGGATGGGGTGAAAAATGAGCTAGGGGAGTGGTCAGGGTCCAGGTCGTCAAGGCTTAGTGAGTCATGTTTAAGAGTTTGGGCTTTGTAGTGTGGACAGAAAGGAATCATCCAAGGGTTAACTTTTTTAATAGATAGGAACTTTAGAAAAGTGGTTATATGAAAAATTGATTGCAGTGGGTCAAAATTGATTGCACTGATCTCTGAGGCAAAGAGATCAGTTAATGGCCTGTGGATTGCAATTAGGCAAGAGACTATGGGCTGAGAAGGTGGTTGTGGTACTGGAGAGAAGGGGAGGACTCAAGTTGAAAGGAGTGGTGAAGCCATAGTACCTTGTAATGGAGGTACTGTGTAGGGTGAGGAAGAGGCAAACCAAGGATGACAGTGACCTCAGCTTCATGGGGAGCAAAGTCAATGGAAGAGCAAACATGGGCCTGGCCTCAGGTTTGTAAAGGAGAATGAGTTGTCTCTCTTTCTCTCTTTTTTTGTTTTTGGAGATGAGTCTTGCCTTGTTGCCCAGGTTGGAGTGCAGTGGCTATTCACAGGTGTGATACCACTACTGATCACCATGGGAGTTTTGACCTGCTCCATTTCTGACCTGGGCCACTTCACCCCTCCTTAGGCAACCTGGTGGTCCCTTGCTCCCAGGAGGTCACCATATTGATGCCGAACTTAGTGCAGACACCAGATCAGCATAGTGCACTATAGCCCAGAACTCCTGGACTCAAGTGATCCTCCTGTCTCAGCCTCCCAAGTAGCCAGGACTACAGACACAGGCC